TTTCCTCAGCAAAGCCATCAGTGAATAAGCACATAAATACACATAAATAAATGCTGCTTCTGTCCCACAGAGCTCCTCGATAAGTTCACAGTGACCTTTATCACCAAACATTTGCCAGACAAGAATGTCTGCATGTTTAAGAAAATTCCCAAGCTGTTTTCCCCATCAGACAGAAAAATGAGTCAATCACAAGTGTCTATAATAATAGTAATGCTTTGTCTCTAGATGATTAAAAGATCATGTAATATTTATGTACTTCTCGCCAGTTCATGAAGAACACTCCTCTTTGAAGCAATGGTGAGCCTGACTTCACCTTGAAATAAGCTAGATGTACTTTTCCACCAACAACCAGTGAGGTGGGACCACACAGCATGAGACCATTTTAGCAATAGGCTCCATTCATCACTGGCCTTATCCCAATTCAGCTACATTTCCACCTGCACACCAGGTGACAGGTCCTTTTCTAGTTTGTAACTTTAAGAAAGTCCTTTCAATTTGGTATTGGTCTGTACTCCCCCAGCTGCTATTTGTTTTTTTGGTTTTTTTGTTTTTGTTTTTGTTTTTGTTTTTTTACGAGACAGGTTTTCTCTGTATTGTTTTGGAGGCTGTCGGTCCAGCCTGGCCTCGAACTCACAGAGATCCGCCTGCCTCTGCCTCCCGAGTGCTGGGATTAAAGGCGTGCGCCACCACCACCCGGCCCAGCTGCTATTTGTTAAATGTCTGGATATGCGTTAGACACTAGAGAAAGAAACCACTATTGTGTAGTTTATAGCCCAATAGATGGAAAAGCATAAGAGAACATAAACCTCAGAGCTCTGTAGCCTCTGGATGCACTGAGTAGAATGCCCTACTCATCATTCTTAAGAAGGAGATGGAAGCTTTTCACGTGAATTGCTGGCTAGGCTGAAACCGGAGTGGCGGGTGAGATGACACGAGACCAAGATGGAGTAAATACTATGTGCAAAGGCTAGGAATAAGAGGTACTGTGGGGGGGGGTAAGAAGAACGGGGGAAAGTGGGGGAGAGAAGGGGAGAGAAAGAAAGAAGAAGGAGGGAAGAGGAGAAAGTAGGAACAAGCCTGTGATGGGAAAGCATTCCAGACAAACTAAAATAAAAGTGAGTTCTGAGAGAAAAAATAAAAAGAGGAGGGGGAGAATTGACCAAGACTAGCGAGGAACGAGCCTGAGCAGTGGGCTCAGCAGTGGGCCCAGGAAAATAGAGGCATGAAAAGATTGTGTTTTGTTCTAAGAGTAAAGTCCATTCCAGCTCTGCCTCAGGGTAAGCCATTTACCACACAACAGTGTTCTTTCTTAACCAGGGATTCCATTCCCTGCCTCTGTCGTAAAATACTGCTGGCTGCCCACCATAGTGGTATGACATCCCACCTGCTCACCACAGGGTCTCCGTGACCCCTCTCCGTTCTCACCTTGCTAGTTTTCCAGTTGCGTGGGGTTGCTGTTGTCCTCTGGTGTCCTGCTTCAGGAAGTGTGCACTTCATGTCCACACCACTTGAAAAGTCTGCCCTGAAATCTTACCACAGCCGACTTGGCACAGCGGTCAGTGACATGTCATCCCAGAGAGGCCTTCTGCTCCCACTTTCCTTCAAAACTTTCTGCAGCTCAACCTGTTGTTTTCTGGAATGTCTTTGTTAGCTTTCTTCAAAGATGTATCATTTAGAGAGATACGGAAGACGTGTTGACACCTAGGTTGCTGTGTAGAACTCACATGACAGAATAGCTGTTCTGATTTATAACAGTCCAACAGGCGTGCTCCAGACTGAAGGCACATCCACAGGGTGCTTGTGCCTCTCCCTAAAGCTTGTCTCCAGCTGCTGCCAAGGGTAAAGACTCTTGGCCTAGAAGTGACTTGTGACTTATTTTCCATTCTACTGGGTAGAGCAGTCTGATGATAAGGCTCCCAGATAAAGGGCTATGTTATATTTCTCTGTGGAAACATTTCACAGCTACAAAGGCAAAGGCAGTGTGTAAGGAAGCCTGGGCTTGAGTGGACAGTCACTTCTGGCACAGAAGGATACTCTTATTTATGTGCATTCTAGCTACTTTTCAATACACTCTGTAAATATATAAATATCACTGGAAGCGGTATTTTATTTCCCCATCAGAAGTTGATCTCAACTTGATAATATCCAAAAGGTTTTCTATTATGGACAACATCATGCATGGCCCCATTTCTTAGAGTACAAATTGTTACAAGATATGTGTGTGAAAGAGCATTGCTGGAATTATTCTTGCTTTTCATATTCGAAGCCTGCACTTTCCCCAGTGTTGTGTTGTCTCTGTCTTCTGAGAAAGACAAACGTGAGATACAGCTGTCTTATGATGCAGAAGACAGATAGGTTTAGAATCAGGATTGCTCAAATTGCTCCCCAAACTGAGATTCCTGTGCCTCCCTCTCTCTTACAGTGTGAGGAGGCAAGAACTTGCTCCTGAGAGGCTAGAGAAGCCTTGTGTTAAATTATGTACCCTTGAAGAATTTTGCATTAAATGGCTTACCCTTCAATTATTTGGCTTAGGTTGGCCACTTTGGGGGTTTCCTTTTCTTTTCCTTTCTTTCCTCCTTCCTTCCTCCCCCCCGTTTGGTATGTAACTCAGACTGGACAGATACAATTCTCCTGTCTCAGCCTCCTGAGGGTCATAGATATTGGGCACACCACTGTGACTAGCTAAAGTGTATTTTCAACTGTGAGTTGGGCTTTGTGAAACATCTGATATTACTGGGCTTGTGGTTAGTTCTGCAGGGCTCTTGTTCTGTTTCTCCTGGGACAGACAAACCAACAGGACATAACCAAGGAAGGCCTCTCAGTTACTCAGCAGAAGGCACACACTTCTCCACTGGTGTGGCAATCAGACTGAATAAGGTGATCATGACTTAGCAACAGTTTTGGTATCTGATGGCTTGGTATCAGGGAAGGGATCAATGAATATTTGCTGATTAAATTTAGATTTCAATTATCAATGATAATTAGAATATTTATATAGGTGAGAACGGAAGTACCAACCAAATTAGTTCCTGAGTATGCAGACATCTGAGCAACTTGCCATCTCCTTAAAACACATGTGGGACCAGGACGTTGGGTCCTCTGCAACATGTGCTAAGCAGACGGGTTTGACCAAACCCTTCACCATGACCTATTTTTACTTGAGAGTTTGGCAAAAAAAGCGGTTGTATCCTTGAGTACTACCTCCTCCCTCCAATAAAATATAGTGGTTTTATAATCCTTTGAGACTTTCGTGCAGTGTATTGTGGTCATATTCACTCCACACTCTTCCACCTACCTCCTCCAGATCCATCTCCATTCCCCTCTCCCTCCCAACGTCCTGACTTCTGCTTTAACTTACCAAGCCCAATCTGAGATGTCCACATGCATATGGGTATGGGGCCATCAGCTGGAGCTTCATGAATAGTCAGTGACCACGCCTAAAGAAAACAGTCCTCAGTTTGCCAAAAAGCCATCAATTATCAATAGCACCTCAGTCAGGGGTGGGGCTCAGGAGCTCCTCTGCCCTTTACGCTGGAATGTTGAGTGGCTTGATCTGAGCAGGCTTTATGCAAGCACAACAGCTGTCTTGAATACAGTGGCTCTGTCATGTCCAGAAGACAATGTCTTAATCCAGCTCTCTGAAACTTCCTAGACATCGTTTTACATTTTATTTTGAGAAAGACTCAATTGCCCAGGCTGGCTTTGAACTCACTCTGTAGCTGAGACTGTCATTACACTTGTGATACTCCTGCCCAAACTTTCTGTAGCTAGGGTTGCAATCCTGTACTATTAAACCCAGCCAACAAAATCATCTTACGAAGCCTTGGCTTGTGGTAAAGAATGAAGTCTTTATTGTATTGGACATGTTCCTTAAATAGTTGAACATTAAGGAGAAATTTGGGATGAATTTGTTTTCCCAACACAGAGAAAGCTTTCCCAATCCCTCTCTTTGTTGCATGCAGCATACATCTACATGTTAAGTATGACAGGTCATTTTCATTGAAATAATAGGTACGGTGGGGGCTGTAAGTATCACTTGTCAGTAGAGAGCACCCTGAGCATGTGTGAAGCCTGAGCTTAATACCTGGCACCAAATGATAATAATGGTCTTGATAAGAACTTTTAGAAATGTTGGACAAGAAAAGACAGTATAGCACAAGCCAGTGGCTTTCAAACTTTAGTTTATATCTGAATCACCTAGTATACTTATTAGAATTCAGCTTGTGGGTCCAACACAGATTATCTGATTCAACAGACTTAGATGGGGGCATGGTGCCTGAGTATCTGCATTGCTAACTACTGATATTACTACAGCTTCTGTTACTGATGACAATGGCAATGAGGACGATGACGATGATGATGATGATGATGATGATGATGGTCACTAGGATTTGGGTCCTGCTTCTGCCACTTACCAGTCTGTTGATATTGTGCTGCTACTTCTACATCTGCCAACCAGTGCACTTAAGAATGATCTGAGTTATGTACTTGTTGAGTACCTCAAACCAAGGGGCACTCATGAAGCCTGTAGGACAGGCAAAGAAGAGTCATGCAAAAGGCATGGCAGTCCCCTTCACCAAGGACATTCTCTGCTAACAAATCCTATGCACATGTACTGACTGCTTCGCTCCATGGAATTCTAAGGCTTTCTGTAATTTCTCCTTATTACTTGCATCACGTGGTTGAAATGCTAAGTTTAGTGACTAGCTTTCTCTCATTGATTATTGCTTAAGAACAATCAAGTCCCATCTAACACCATTGATCATCTATGTAAAGGAAGTTACCAATTTGCTACTTCTTCCCTTTCGTATTATTTCCTTATTATGTTAAGGACTTTGCAGGTCATTTGCTTTCTAAAAGGAACATAAAAAGAAAGGATTTAAAAAAATAATTGAATAGACTCAACATTCAGCTGTTATTACCTGAGAAATGAAGGGTTGCCAGGGGAAAATGTTAACATTACCAACAAATGTTCACATCATAGAAGTGACTCTCAGAACTCTTATGAAGCAGAGAACATTTTATTTTTGCTGACAGGACCACCAAGTCTTTTCCAAATGTGATCATTCTTACCCTGAGCATTGCCAGTGCAGTTCTCCGAACACAATTTATAACCATTTGCCTTCACAATCAAGTTTCTGTTTCAATGTGTGTTACCCCTTCACAGTGCTTCATTTTTCTACAGAAATTTTGCCCACAAAGTGTCACATGTCAGTATAAATCATACATGGAATTTATTTTAAATGCAAAGCCCCTAGCTCATCTTACTAAGCCACTCACGAACTCACCTTATTTAACTTTTGAGACTAACCTTGTCAAAACTGCCATTTCTTACAAGAGGCACACTGATGAATGTTTAACAATCATTCCCCAGAAAGAAAGAAAGAAAGAAAGAAAGAAAGAAAGGAAGGAAGGAAGGAAGGAAGGAAGGAAGGAAGGAAGAAGAATTCCTGCCACCTACAAAGCCCTGAGTTATTGGCGTTGCAGTGTTTCTGAGTGTAACTTTTCCCACATTGCCCAATTTGAGTTGATCTGTGAGATACCGGGGAACGCAAAGATGAGGAGAGGTTTGCAAACAGCTTTGGCCCCACTGGAAGACCTGGTGGGAGCTGTCATCAAGTGGCAGCTCTCTAACCCACATAGACATATGCATAGATGACGTGGCTACAACAGTCTATGATTTCACATGAGAATACTGCTTGCAAGCCTCCCTGCCTTTGCCAGTGTTCTTTCTCCAGCCAGGAATCCCAGTCCATGACTACACATGGAAAACTTCTACTCCAAGACCCAGGAAATGCTTAAATCTTTATTCATAACTTTGCTACCACCTTCTAAGAGAATAGCTAATCACTCTTTCTTCTATGTTCACCTAGTACCTTAGAGTACTTCATTAGCTGTTATATTACTTATGTGTGTGTTTGTGTGCATACCTCAGCAGCAGACACACAGTGAATCAGTAATTAATATTTTGTAGGCTAAAATACAGATTCAATAAACAAAATTCAGAATGAAACATATTTTTCAAATAACAAAAGCAATTTAAAGCCTATTAAAAGTTATGAGACAGACATTTTTAAAGTGAAATATTCAAGTAAGGGAATGATGCATGTAGCATTTTGTTTAGAGAATGTAATATTTGAATATGTAAAATATTTATATAATTCTCACTACATTTCAGAAATAAAAAAAACCTCAGAAGTAAAGCCACCCACTCTAAACCAGAGAGTTAATTATTAATGGAGTCAAGGTTGAAATTTTTCTAGTCTGCCTTTTCTATTGAAATATAAAATCAGTCTAAGCTTTACCCAGAAGCATTGCAAGCTGCCTACAGCATTGGGTATGCAGCAGTCACTTAATAAATATCACTGACTTTTTCCAGTCCCAGTCCGGTAAAGAGTAATTCTGTAATAATATCCACTTAATTCATTTCAGCCATTCAAGTTCTGACAAACTAGTATAGAACTAGGACTTGAAAATTATGCTAAATCATAAGGGGTATAATTTTCTAATTCGGCAGCATGGCACCATTTCAAGTCCTTCATCTTATACAGACTGAGTGACCACTAACAGCTAACACTTCTTGTCTTCTTAACGTGTGCCAAGTATACACTCCACATTTGACAGGCATGCTTCCATTCCTACAGTCATCTGAGGCATGCATTGTTATTATTATCTATGTTTTTTATGTATGAGTTAGTAAGATGAAACACTGTGACTAAGAGCCCCCCACTAGCACATGGCAGAATTGAAGTACAGTCTGACATTGATAAACACTATGAAATACAGATTCCTTTGTGCTATAGAAATGAAACCAGTGAAGAATCAGCACCAAGGCAGGTGACAGCAACAAACAGGCCAGAGAACTTGTCCTTGACTTCAGAGACTTCAAGGTTTCCTCAGTGACACCGGAGGACATTGATGTGTAATTACATATGAAGATGTTCTTGTGCTGGGACATCACATAAATTCAAAGACAGCAGGAGGTACTGCAAACCTGTAGAGACAAGGAAGCACCAGCAGTGAAAGAATGTTCTAGAATAGAAGGAAAGCAGTGTGTGTGTGTGTGTGTGTGTGTGTGTACTGAAACTGAAGAAAAACATTGCAAGTATGTGTGTGTGTATGAGAGAGGGGGGAGGGAGAGAGAGAGAGAGAAAGAGAGTGTGTGTGAAAGAGAGAAAGGGAGAGAGTGCATGCTTGGGATACAGAATGTAAAATAATGATGACACACAAGATTATGGATACATGTACCTTAAATGTTTAAGAGGTTAAGCTTATGTCTGAATAGCAGAGGGTCCTGAATATCAAGGAAGGAAACTGAACTCTTTCTCTACTGCTTGTAGATGACTGTACACAATGACTATAAAAAATGCTTCTAGCATGTCATTTTCTGGCCCTGTTTGATAAGAGAGGCCATTTGGGAGAGGACCGCAGTCTAGTTCCATAGTAGTGATAAAGTACACAGGAAAAAAGAATATGTTGAAAAAACCACCAAGAGTGCCACATACTTACAAGGCTCCAGGGATTGATAACTGTGATGATAATGGATGGGAGAAATAGAAAATACACAAGCAAAGCTGGGACTGGGCAGAGCAGAGAGGTAGGGTTATTGCACATGGCTAAATAAGGAGGAAGGGTTATTATACACAGCCGAAGAAGAAGGCAGGTTAAGCTAATCTCAATAAGAGTGGTCTGTAGGAGAGAAGACTGTATGGGGAGCAGTCTTTAGCCATACACATCTAGGGAAAATAAACTCTGGTGCACATTTTCTGTGCAAGTTGTCAACTCAAAGCAGAGGAAGCCTTTGCTATCTCTCTAAGCCTTGCCTTGCCTGGGGAAGACTTTGTGGCTCTCATAGTTCTGGGTCATTGGTCTTTGACACAGCCCTTCCCATCTCAAACAATACACTCAGGACCTCATTCACTTGCAACATATGAGGACTTAATGGGCTTAGAGGGACCCAAAGGTCAGTGACTGCACTGAGTAGGAGGCAAACAGGGAGGCTCTGGATGGAGGTGATTCTCTGGATGGAGGGGATGCTCTGGATGGAGGAGATGCTCTGGATGGAGGGGAGGCTCTGGATGGAGGTGATTCTCTGGATGGAGGTGATGCTCTGGATGGAGGTGATTCTCTGGATGAAGAGGATGCTCTGGATGGAGGAGATGCTCTGGATGGAGGGGATGCTCTGGATGGAGAAGATGCTCTGGATGGAAGTGATTCTCTGGATGGAGAAGATGCTCTGGATGGAGGAGATGCTCTGGATGGAGTTGGCACTTTGTGAATGTGGTTAGCCCTTCATTGCTGATACTTTTAAGAGTGAGATGACATTACAATCAAACAAAACAATAATAACAGCAAAACTTCCAAGTGGAGGTAGCCACCAGATTTGCATGGAAATGGCATGTAGAATAAGCCAGTAATCAGAGGCTTATCTACCCAATAAACCTTTGACCAAATCAAGGGGACATGCAAACAGAATCAAAAAGAGAAAAGATGAAGAAATCAGTTCCCAAGAAGCTGAAGTGGGAAGTAATGGTGGACATTCCATAATCAGTAGACCAGGTATTAGAAAAAGCCTGGAAAACAGAACTCAGCTCTGTACCACTTCAACTGATTCCCGCAGAGTTCTGGCAAAAGTGGACATAGGAGCCATGGCGATTTGAGCTAAGGGAGGACAGAAAGTGTAGATGCTCTTTTTAATAAAATAAGTGAAGAGAACCTAGGTACACAAAATAAAAAGGTAGAAGAGAAGGGGATAGAGAAAAGATTATGGGAGAAGTTAGTTAATACAGAAAGAAAGCAGTGAGGTTTAAGGAACAACTGTTAAGTGTTGAAGATACAATGGAAGTTACTTTGCTCTTCTGAGCCCATAGAAAACAGGGTTTGGAGGAAAACACAGTTTGAAGTGCAAGAAAGAATACAGTTATTAGGGGAAAATCCTTTTTAATAATTTACCTGCATCCAAACTCGGTATGCCTGCCAAGTCATCACAATTGTTGTTTGATGGAAAGGCTTCCCCGAAAGGGAGCAGGTGTGGTTGGAGCTCGTTCAAGAGTGCAGTTGATGCTTCCTTTGGCAGACACCCACTTTTCTTCCACCCTTCATTCCTCTGCTTCCGGCAGGTGCCCAGTTGCTCCCCCAATCCTGAGGGATTGTATCCAGGTCTATACCCCTGGGGAGAATTCTCACAACTAAACTATTGGAAGTGTAGCCTTTGCTGCTTTCCTGGATGTCAGGGAAGCGTGGGTACAGTGTTGGTTTACTGAGCAGTGAGTGAGTACTGCCCTCCTGCTATTTCTTTCAAAGGATTCTCTACAACAGAAATTTCCTGTTCAAATGAGTAGATTCTGGTGAAGGAACACTCATTGGGAAATATAGGTAAAGGGGGTTTCTGACAGAGTCCTGATGGAATTATACCACCTGGCTAAAATAAGCAGATCCTTAATATAGTCAGTGAAGAGGCAGACACCACAGTAGAGGAATGATGCTAGTCTGTCACATACTAGCACCAACTAAATAATGACTGTAACAAATAATTGCCATTAGCTTCCCCTATCAAATCTTCATAAGCAAGATTAACATGGATGGTAAATTTCTAGTATCTATGTGATAGTTCTGTCAACTTGACATAATCACTAAGGAAAAAAGTCTCCTCTAGATCAAACTGTCCCATGGAGATTATTTTGATCACATTAATTTATGTGGGAAGACTTTGGCCCATGAAGGCCAACACTATTCTCTAGGTAAGAGATTTTGATCTGTATAAGAGAAGAAGGCAAACTGAGCACTCACAAACATTCTGAGTTTTTTTCTGTTCTTAATTGATGGAACCAGCTGCTTCACACCCTGCTGCTGTGATTGCCCTACAAAAATGAGCTATAACCTAGAAATGTGAGCTAAAGACAAACTCTTTCTCCTCTAAGTTGTTTTTGGTCAGGATATTTTATCACAGCAACTGAAATTAATCCCAGACTTGAGATAAAATGTATCAGTAGTAAAGGCGCTCTAAAAAAATCAGTGGGAAAAATAGATGATAGAAAGGTAGATAGATGGATAAAGATATATAGATAGAAGATAAGTGATTGTGTAGATGATAGATAGATAGATGAGAGAATCAAATAATTAGCATACACAATTGAGAGGCAGGATAAGACTACTAAAATGTGAAATCAAGGATTGATGCTACAAATTTGAGATAGAAATTCTTCTTTAAGAAAACCTCAATTTTGCTCTGAACAGTGCTGAGTGGAGTGCGTGAGACCTACCCACATTCAAGAGAGAAGTCTCCTATAACTAAAGTCCACACGGTTGCAGATGCTAACTTCTATAAACATTCATGCTAGTACCTACTACTGAATTTGTGGATACTTTAGACCTGCCAAGTTGACACCTAAAAAGTAACCATCAAGTGACCTAAAGTGTTTCATACAGTATTAAGTTAATTTGGGGTTGTACTTACGCAGAGTCATTTGCACAGTGGCACTTTAGGGAAAGCCACAAGAGAATACTTAGTTTACATTTATGTAGCTGGAGGAGACCTTCCACAAGAGTGAATGTGTGAAAACCTAGGAGGACTCAGTAAAAGCAGGAAATAAAGTAAGTACTATTTAGGAGAAGCGATTAGAACCTGAGAGTCTCAAGGGGCATGAATATTAATGGAAAGGCAAACCATTTTTATTTCTTTTTAGGCATCCAAGAAAGAGTGACCCAACAATACTGAAAGATTAGGGAATACCCAGGGAGGCGACATCAAGTTACATAGATGTGAGCTTCATGAAAGGAATGATGTTCCTCCCATCTGTTAAGTTTGATTATCTTGTACTAATTATCTTATTTTGCATGTGAATTAATTCTTAAATTTAAATGGTGTCCTAATTTCATCTTTGTTACTGTTTTTGGTAAAACACTGACCATAAACACCTAGGAGGAGGAAAAGATTTATTCCAGCTCCCAGGTCAGAGGCCATTGTTGGGGAAGTCAAGGTAGGCACTCAAGTAAGAACATGAAGCAAAAACTGTGGAGAAACAATACGTGCTAGCGTGAATTCAGGCTCATGGTTAGCTAGCTTCATAACAGTCCAGTGCTGTCTGCCCAGGGAGTGATGCTGCTCACAGTGGGCTGGGCCTTCCCACATCAATCAGCCATCAAGATGATCCCACAGACAGGCCCACATGCCACTCTGAATTGGGAATTCCACAACTGACTCTCAGATGACTGTAGTCTGTGTTGAGTTGACTAAAAATTGACAAATGATAAGAACCAGATTCAACTTTCCTATGAATTCATCAGACTATGAAGGTATAATCAAGGCATGATTGACAGGAAGAGAAGAGGAAGAAGGAGGACAGCTAACTGTGCTGACTGTCTGCCAACACAGCTTACTCATGACTTTCTTCATTTTCTCCTTAGGATGGCTCTATAAATCAGGAATCTTGACTTACACATAAGGAAGTAGGGCTGGAGGAGATAAATATAATGCAAGCCCCAAAATGACTACCCTGGCGTAGACAGAAGTCTTGGGGTGGCACTTCCAGACTCCATACTCTTGACAAGGGGCAGTTCACAATCTACAAAGTCATCTCCATTGAAAAGGCACTCACCAATGTCACTAGTGTTGTAATTAAAGAAAAGTGGCGAGTGAGAGAAAGACACCATGCCACAGGGTTCAGGAAGAGGGGTTTTTATTAGGGAAAGGAATCACAAAAAGGGGAAAGGGAAGGGGGAGACCAGCTTCCAGAGGCAGGAGCAGCAGGAGAGAAGAAAGAGGGGGAGAGGGGAGAGAGGGAGAGAAGGATGGGAGGTGGCCAGGACCATATTAAAAAGAAACATAGTGAATATGCACAGGTGGTGCTCTTAGTGGCTGCAACTCATGGCAAATCCTGTCAGAAGTCCAAGGACAGGCCAGTATAAATGCCTGAATATTAACAGTTAGTGCCTTGGCAGGTCAAGGAGTTGTCCTACCGAGAGGGGTGTGGGTTTGGAATGCTAGGCCAAGAA